CTTTTTGATTTATACCTTTTATTAGTATTGTATTTAACCCGTATGACGATGAGTAGAGGACGGTATCTTTGATTTATGAACGTGTTATGCCAAGAGGCATATCTCAGTTTGGGTGAAGGGATGTGTCATGAATTTGTTTTTGCGTATCTGTTGACCGACTTAATTAACTGATTATTAGCGAATTGCTGTGTTATGTCTGTCATCGTGTAGGCCTATTTGAAGTTTTGGACGGAACTTGGCTCAGTGGTTTGGAACTAATTACAAGATACCGTCGCTATTCTGACATCCGTAGTTATTAATGTAGTGAACGATTAATCAAAAGATATGACGTATTCAGTACTTAGTTTGATTGGCTTTATGATTGAAGTTTACGCCTTAGAGTCTTTTTACTGCTTTGTAATTGGTTAGAGTTTTGAAAATGAATAAAGAGAGTTTGAGTTGGTCTTTGCGAATACTCCACGGCAGACGCAGCCTTGGGCAGTCGAGTCCAGTCGAGAGTCCGAGAGAGTCCAGGGGCGAGCCTTGAGGCAGTCCAGTCTTGGGCGAGTCTTGGTTCAACCTTGCGATAGTCTTGGGGACTTTTCCCCAGGGCGCTGTGTCTTATAGAGTGCTCGATTGACCGACTAAGACGAGAGCTGAAACGTATTTCGTTGTGTGTGTCTTATTTGACTGTAAAGTTAAAGTGACTTTCCCGATCCCGTACCTCAAGGGGACGAGATAGAGAGACGAGACGAGTTCCCCCCTGACAAGTGTGGAGAACCCGAGAGAAAGAGAGATTTTACCCCCGGAAAAGATTTCCCCTTGATAGTTCTCTTCGTCTGTAACTGTAACATATTTCAATATAACGAAAAGGGCATTATTTTGAGTTGTATATATTCTTCCGATGGAAAACTGAGACGACAAATATAAAGCCGACTCGCCGGAAAAACCGGAAATAGTAATTTTTATGTTGTCGGTGGCATTGTTTTAGGCAATCTCGTTTCCGGTTGTCCGAGTGTCGTGAACATGCGAAGTCTTAAAAATACTCGATTTTCTCAAGGTAAGAATATCACATGATTTCCACAGTAACGATAATTATCATTACGTCCGTCCACTTGTCCGTCTGTGCTCAGACTGTTCACACGTACACATTAACTCCGTCGTGATTTGTTGGTGCTGGATTGATGACGTTCAAACTTGACAGGGTTATACCTGCACTGTAGGTGAGAAAATCGTGAAAAATCTACACCACTGCCATGACAACAAACTGTTTTCCCTACCTTCGCGCCAAACATATATATCATATATATAACTCTTTTCTATTCGGGTGAGTGGGCAAAGTTACATTTGGTTTTTTGATAACTTGCTTCGTCGTCAGAAAATGTGACCCGGAAGTTGGAGGTATTTTCGTCAAAAATGGCGTTTAACTACTCTGTGATTGTTTTGGCAGGCTGATTTTGTTCAGATGTCAGCCCTGCAATCAGATGGGGGGAAATCCTCTTCTACCATTGCCATGGCAACACCCGAAAACTTAAATTAGTGGCCGTCTCATATCTCATTCTACTTTCGACTATTTTGTTTTTTTGAGTCGATGCCAGTGCTTCCTCAGGGTCGACACTATGCATTACACCAAATAAACAAATGACACAATATGTAACTACTTATTTCATAAAGCGTTCAAATTTTTAAGTTTAAATATTTTTATAAAGCATTCAACCTAATACTGAGACATGGAGTTCATTGAACGTTCAAGTGTTCAAGTATGAATTTCAAGTTCATTAGGTAATTTTCCGAAGTTGTTACAATGTAACTGTTGTTCGGCCTTGCATAGAGTATATCAGTATAACTTTTCTCCAATTTCTGTTTGCCTGGACCGACTTTGCCTGTTCACCAGGCCAAAAATAAATCATATCCTACCGTTACCATGGCAACAGACAAAAATGATTGTTTGCATCCCGGTTATAGTTGTTATATTAATTGGTGATCGGAAAATATTCATTTCACACTGGTGACAAAATTCTACACTTTCAGCAAATTGTTTGTGAAAGATTCAAACTATACAGTAGATGCAAGATACATTCCGATCACGGTGTAGCCTCGGATTGGTCTCGTGCAGACGCCGTAATGCAACGCCTGTCAAATATATTGTTTGCTGGTCGTCTATAAGGCGACGACTGTTATTTACAATAAAATGTAAAACTGTTATCTTTATATATACACAGTCACTCAGCTCCGTGCATTTATTTCATTTTAGGCAGTGGATCTCCTAATAAGTCAGTTCCGTTTGTGCAATACATTATGGGAAATAACATCCTTTTAATATACTAGTAATAGAAGAACGCGTTATCATACTGAAAACTCAATATTTGCAATTAATGTGTAGCAATACAATGCATGTCTTTTTCAGCTCATGTAACCGGGCAAAGTTACGATCTTAAGGTAGCAATGAGGGTAGCGAACTATGTTGTCCCAGGTATGACCCAACACATCGTTGAGGGCAGCATACCACTGAAACACCATTGACTCAGAACTCACCTCAAAACCTTCAGTCTTACTTGACGACCACAAGACCGCGTGAGAGGAGAGATAATAGTCTAGTCGCATCCATCAGTGTGCCAGTGAAGGACCGATTGTTATCCAACAACGAACACGAAGTAATTTGCTTATTTCTGTAAAAGGTTCTGTGAAAATACTAAAGCCAGGCATCGTCAGGTCGGCTCACTTAGTTTTGTACCGCTCTTTCATTGGCTGAAACGTTATACCTTGAAAACTCAAGAGGATACGGTTCATTTTAGAAAACAAAAATATTAGGCGAGTTACGTTTATTTTCAAATAAAATTTACATTCGAACATCGAGCCGTATCACCATTCTATATGAACCTAACTGTAAATTCAAAAAAAATATAGGCAGCCACGCCGCGTTAAACACCGAGAAAACAATTCACTAGTAAGAAACCCTTCACCCGTTGTTCAGTGTTTTTTTTTTTTTTAATTATGAAGCCATTCTTTTTAACCTTGATATATGTTTTCGTAAATTGAAAAACGGCAAGTCTTCTCACGGGGCCACTTACAACTAGGAAACCTGAGTATTTACGTGTCCGACGAGTCATGCTGAATGTTGCCCAATCAAGAATTTCATTAACAATACAGGAAACATGATATTCAGATTGTCTGTCTGCATACGAAATCCATCCAATAGCCCCTTAAACCACTCACTTCCTTGTCATTGAAACAAAAAACAATCAGTACAGTGGAAGCGCTGGGGCGTGAAATGCGCGCTGCATAATTTCCATTAGCTGACCGCGAGCTGCCGCGCTTCATACACAAGACAAATGAGATGATGAAACCCTCACCCTGGCGTCTCAACTAAATTTGGGTTCGATTCTCGGAAAAAAAAATACTACGCGCAGATGAAATCAGCAACAAATCGGCGCACTATAACGGCACTTACGCGGCGGAAGAATAGCCAAATTTGTTTTTGGATATTAAGGTAGAAAACTCGTTATATAACCTCGTATAAAATGACTGATAAACGAATGTATTCTTTGGAGACGACATCAAGAAGATCATATGCGACCCCCATCCATTATCATCGAATAAGACTAACCTCATCACAGCCAATTACCGGCCCCAAGTCACGACTTTTCTGTATGCTTTCTCGTCATATTCCATCATACCCCCCAAACCCCGTTCTATTACCTTCGCGTATATGAGGCATATACACTCCGAGAATACGATACGTATTTGTCTAACCGAGCAGACGAGCCTCTTAAGTACATAATCAGGATATCGATCTTCTTGAAAGTGTATATGCGGTTAACGAATAATAATACTTGATACGCCTAACATAGGTTTATTTTCAAATATGTATACAGATAATTGATTTGTTTCACGATTTGTACCACGATAACCTATACCATGATAACTATATTAATTGACCAACGCGGGATCATTATTGACTCCTATGTAGGCTCAATATCGGTATCAGGTGGCTGTTCACCGCATAACGATTAACGGCCACAAGTCGTGATGTTCGCCACACATATATAACACCCACGAGCATCAACATAATAACAGTTTTATATTTCATTAAATATTAACAATGCACAGATTAAAAGCGACGCGTGACAAAAGTGATGAAACGTTCTACAATTTCAATATTGGTTGACCATTATAGGAATTCTGTGTAATTTGGCGGCGATTCAGTGCCTTTTCTTGAAGTTCCCGAAAAGCCTTCGGCGACGATCGCTCTATACGTGCGTAAGAGTGTACGTTTTGAACATGTTGTCGTGATCGATAGATAATGAGCAAGGCATGGACGTGTGGAGAGGAAAATGTAACAAATCCACACAAGATAAAGAAAAAGAATGATCTGAAGAATCCTGGGGTTATGATATTTGTTAGAAGATGATGGTGATGATGATGATGATACACCAACGTGACAAATACCAATCGCTCACATGCATCAGCGATATTACGAATAGCTATATAAATAATTCCGTACTGTTGGTGTTTTATCGACGTGGTGCAGCGAATCCCTTTTTTGTTTTATACGACCACAGTAAGCCACCCTATAAGAGAAAATACAGGGGGAATTATGGTATCTTCGATTAGTTTATCGAAGCAATTCTCTCGATGGATTATCTGTCGTATTATTAACGGTCTGTTCATACTTACTGGGTACTGTGGCGGATGCTCGGGAGACTTCTTCAAATAATTCCCAAACTGTATATCACTCACTTTTCGCAGCTGGTCTTCGTCTTTGTCACTTGGGTCAAACTCGGAGGACGGCTGTTGGTGTGTTTGGTCGTAATCGCCACTGTAATCGGCGTCGGGTTGCTGTTTTTCTGGTTGCCACAATCCCATTTCTTTCAACTCGTTGTTCCCGCCAACAATTTTCTTTGGTCCATGCTTTATATACATCTCAGGGTCGATTAGTTCTTCCACCCTTTGGTACTTAGGCTGTACGAGGAGCGGGATCCTTCCCTCGTCGACGTTTAGAGAACGTACTACGCCACTCTTCTCTGCTGTCATTTCTTCCGGCCATTCGATGAAATTGCTCCATCCTATGTCGTCATCGTCGTATCGACTGCTTCCAGACACACTTGCTGCATCTCCTGTGGTTACTACGACAACCACGAGCGCAGCAAATTTAAGCGAAGGTTTCGTGTACATTCTCTGAAAGATATAGAAACCCTGCAATGATATAATAATAAATAATAATAATATTAACAGCAAGTGGTGGTTTGAATAGCTTACGAGTAAATATCGGAGAATGGTCAGTCGCTTCCACGTTTGGCAGCGAGTTGAATGACTGAAGGAGCGTGTATCAGCGTATTCACCCACCTATCACACTCCGAGTAGCTCGTAAAACTGCGTCCGCTTTAGCGATCGAATAAGATAAGCTGTATTTTGGCAGATATCGAAAGGTAAATTTACATAACTGGTCGGGCATACCAGATGCGGATGTACAAAACAAACGTAAATTTAACGGCTATATGTTGGTTTTCACGAAAAACAACAGCAAGTTAAATATTGAACAAGTTAATCATAGAGTCGCCGTAGAGTGCGCATCTCTTCTGCGCAAGTATATCACGAGTACTATTTTAGAGAGTTCAAGTAATCCCTCTCTACGTCACTGACCTAAAAGATAGGGATTCTCAATAACGGAATTCTGGGAAAACAAATAGTAATCATTTATATATACTGCTCACATTCTGTGCCGTCGTTTATGGCAAATGTTAGAATAGATGACGTCACATCCCGAAATGACTCCTGTTTCTAAATTAAGGGGGTCCGACTACGGGTCGTGGGACCACTCGGAGATTCATTGCATGTTCAACAACTCTCAACAAAATATGTGCAGACTACTCACTCCCCGGTCAATACATTTGTTCTACCCTCAGCCGTTCAATTCATGTTCGCGTCACCCACGATATAGTCCGTCACCATGCACATATGCCCCACGGCCAGTCATTACATGTACGTTTAGCCCGGCAAGGCAATGTTTGTACATTTAGCCCCCTAGTCACTAGCAAATACATATCAGTTTCAGTCAACGAAGGTAAGTTTTAGCTCAGTAATCACTCAATACATGTACGATTTAGCTCCCTGGCCAATCAAGACTCGTACGTGTTAGTCCCCTATTCAGTCAATACATGTACGTATTAGCTTCCTAGCCAATCTATGACAAGTACGATTTAGCTCCCTGTCCAGTCATTACGTGTACGTATTAGCTTCCTAGCCAATCTAAGACAAGTACGATTTAGCTCCCTGTCCAGTCATTACGTGTACGTATTAGCTTCCTAA